AACCTAGCACCACCACGGTCTCTGTTAAACCATGTCCTCAAGTGGCATGTGACAGCAGTGACACACACTTTTCAAACAATTCCAGGGATGATAATTCCACCACTTCTCTGGGCAGCTTGTTCCAATGACTGACCACCCTTTCAGTGAAGAATATTAAGTTACTAAGATATGACTTTTCCCTCCATGAACCCATGCTGGCTTTGACTGTAGGTGCTTGCACCATTAGGTGGGCACTTGTTGCCAAATACTCTGAAATTGCTGGGATAAATAAAACTCTCTAACACCATCATTTTAGCATTAGAAAGCAAGGCATTACCTTAATTCTGGCCAGAGGTGTGTGTGTAAGACTAACAGAGTTCAGTCAATCCCACATAGACCCCAATACATAATTTATCTACCCATTTATACATTTTTAGCAAACAGTTAAATTAATTTTCCTTGGTTCTTAATTACACAATTCTCTTTCATTAGTTAGTATTTACTTCCTATTAGTTATTAATTTTTTGCTTTTTATAATAATTAAGGTCACATCTTTAGTCCTTTTAGTATCTTTGTCTTGGAAAGGACTTTCCATCACATATATTGAGTCTTTGTTAGCCGCCTTCTTTATCTGCTGATTTCTGCAAAAAGTCCTCGCAGTTCATAAATCTTGGGTTCCAGATGTCCAGCTTCAACAATACATCTTTCTCTCTCCTTAGCTTTGTTCACTGAAGCGTATCAAGGTTAACCTTTAACAAAACTTAGTTTCAGTACTTTTCCCAAGCTATGTTCCCACAAAAGTAGCTTATGACAACTTCTTGCTAAATGCTGGCTTTAAAGAGATTTAAGACCTAACACAGCATCTATGATTAATTAATACAAGTAATCAAAAGGTTAATTAAAGCTATTAAAAATTAGACAACTATATCATTTCCAACACACTGAGTGGGGATTTTGAGTCTTTTTTGTGCAAAAAACATTGGACTTAAGTGCCCAAAGGGGCATATCTGAGAAGTTTGTGCATGAAAGGTGTCCATGAAATTAGGCTTTTTAAGTATCTGTATCTGTAACTGATTCTCCAGTTAATGACTGCAGTTTTACCAGTGTAAATAAATTTGGTCTCAAAATGCTGCAGGGTCTAGCACATAAATATCAGCAGGTGAAAGTCCACAGGAGACCAACACATTTGCAGTGAAATATTGTTTTTGCTGATTGTGCTGTAACCACTAGTCTGGGCTTCTACATACAGCAATTTTGTACATGGATTTAAATTACAGAGCTAGGTTTTGCTGCTGCTTGTTAAGCACTGATGACAAAGAATAGAAAAATCTGCCTCTTAAGAAGCTGCTGGGCTTTAAAAGAGGGTTCTCTTAGAAACGCTTAATTTGAAGATTGTTTCTAATTATATATTGTTTTCTGAGATTTACTTTCCTGCCCTTACATTTTTACTATTAAGATATTTATATGGATGCCGGATCTTATTTTCTTAAGTGATCATCCACTCTTGATAATTATTCACCTTGCAAAACCATAATCCTCTATATTGTCATAGCACAATAATGTCTGTGGCAACCAGCTGTGATGTCTCATGCAGGTGCTTATGATTTCAAGAGCTTTGCTTTTAAATATAAAGTTCCTGTCTTGTAAGCAAATATCCCTTGTCCACCTAAATGCTGCAATTAATTTGGGACAGAAAAATAGGAACAATACTATATCTAGCCAGAATATATATAGAACAATATATATATATTATAGAACAATACTATATCTACCTGTGGGGTAGAGGCAGCTTTTCAATGCTCTTTTAACATAGTTTGCTGAGGAGCATTTTGGTTCTAATTCTGGGCTGCAAATACCTTCTGTACCAAATACATGAAAAGACATTATTTTAGAAGAAGTTGATTTACAACATGAAAGTTTTGTATTTTCATGAAGTCTCAGGAGAGCCTTGGAGGTATATTTTCTGTCTTCTTGTCTCTTGCTGAGCATGTGGAGTTTTAATGCCCTGGCACTTAGGTCCTCTCTGGAGAAAGAGGTGGGAGAGATGTTCCTTCAGTTGCTTGTCAGACTGTGGCTGCTCTGTGTTAAGCAGTAAGAACAAAACCAGAAATTAAACAAAGCAAACTATAGGCTTTGTGCTTGTGTTTCATTAGTGCTGCTGGCTTCGTGCCCAACCATATCAGAAAAAAAAAAAAGAAAACAAACTACTTTCTTCAGAAATTCAGAGTATTCATTAATGCTGCAGTAGGGACTTCAGATGGAGGAGAAGCGCTCTGCCAAAGACGCCTTCTCAGACAGCAGGTGCTCAGAGGGCCAAGTAAGATTTGACAATGACCTGACCACAGCACAGGACCGCAAGATGAGGCACTCAGATGAGAAAGCATAGGCTTCAGCACAGAGGTCAGCCTATTCATGTGTTTAGAAAGGAGACAGCTTTTAAAATTAAAATAGCAAGGACAGTCATCTAGCAGGCTCAATAAATTTCAACACTGTGCTCTATCCTTCATAGTTACTTAAGCATCCTCCTGAAGCTCAGGCATGTGACACTGACTTAAAAAACATATGACAAAGATAACAGAAGGAAGAGCAGAGAACGAAGCCTTAAACAATGTGGGATGCACCTCTCTGGTATTTGCAGAGATTCTATCTCCTCTCCTCCTTTTAGAGGTTTTTCAATGTGAATGGCTTACCATAGTAAAAATAAGAGAGTATTAGACAAGGAGATATCAGAAAGAGGGAGGCGAGGGATGAGCCATATGTCAGAGGAGCAGAGCTAATAGCTCTGATCTGCTGAAGTTAGTGTGAGTTGCCCAGGGCCAGGATTTCAAACCAATTGCACTTGCCCTCTCCCTTCCCGAACTTTGTAGTCTCCAGCTGTACTGAAAAGTCAAGGCTGCACATGCAAGATGTGGCTGACAGGTACAGTATGTCTCCAAATTTGGGCAACCTGATAAACAAAATCACCTTGCAAAACAAAAACTAACCTCCCAGAGGCATGCCTTTAAATGAAGTAGTTAATGATAAGTTGCTTCCCCCACCTCCCTGCTCCTCCTTTGTCCTTAATTTGTTTAATCACTGTATGCTGTTTATTGCAGGAGTGATTCGAGAGAGTTACCTGAAGGGTCATGATCAGCTGGTGCCAGTCACCCTGTTGGCCATTGCTGTTATTCTTGCTTTTGTCATGGGGGCCGTGTTTTCAGGAATCATAGTGTACTGCATTTGCGACCATCGCCGCAGAGACATGGCTGTTGTGCAGAGGAAGGAAAAGGAGCTGACCCACTCCCGACGTGGCTCCATGAGCAGCGTTACCAAGCTCAGTGGCCTCTTTGGGGATGCTCAGTCCAAGGAGCCAAAGCCTGAAGCTATCCTCACGCCTCTGATGCACAATGGCAAGCTGGCTACCCCAGGCAGCACTGCCAAGATGCTAATCAAAGCTGACCAGCACCATCTGGACTTGGCTGCCCTGCCAACCCCTGAGTCCACCCCAACCCTGCAACAGAAGAGAAAGCCCAGCCGAGGCAGCAGGGAATGGGAGAGAAACCAGAACCTCATCAATGCCTGCACAAAAGATATCCCCCCGATGGCCTCACCAGTGATCCCAACTGACCTGCCGCTCAGAGCTTCTCCCAGCCACATCCCCAGTGTTGTGGTCCTGCCCATAGCCCAGCAAGGCTACCAGCATGAGTACATTGACCAGCCAAAAATGAGCGATGGGGCTCAGATGTCTGCAGAGGACCAGAATGCCACTCTTGAGTACAAAACTATCAAGGACCACCTCAGTAGCAAAAGCCCCAGCCATGGGGTTAACCTGGTGGAAAATCTTGACAGCATGCCACCAAAAGTACCCCAGCGGGAAGCTTCCCTCGGGCCCCCAGGGGCCTCGCTGTCACAGAGTGGCCTGAGCAAGCGGCTGGAGATGCACTCTTCTGCTTACAACGTGGACTACAAGAGAAGCTACCCTACAAACTCACTCACAAGAAGTCACCAGGCATCAACTCTCAAAAGAAACAACACTAACTCCTCCAACTCGTCCCACCTCTCCCGCAATCAGAGCTTCGGCCGGGGTGACAACCCACCACCAGCCCCGCAGCGAGTGGACTCGATACAAGTCCACGCTGCTCAGGCACAGGCTGTGACTGTATCTCGGCAGCCAAGTCTCACCACCTACAACTCACTGACGAGGTCAGGTTTGAAACGCACGCCCTCGCTAAAGCCAGACGTACCTCCCAAACCTTCCTTTGCTCCTCTTTCCACATCCATGAAGCCGAACGATGCATGTACATAATCAGAGTGGGGGGGGAGCGGGGCAAGGACAGCAATTAAGCAGAAGTTGCCCTTGAAAGCCAGTGTTCTGCAACTGTCATCACTCGCTCCTCTGAGAAGATGGTGGTTGCAAGCTAAAAATGTGTTGGATTTCTGCTCTCTGGGAAAAGTGGAATATTTTTTTAAACCCGAGCCATATGACCCATGGTTGAAGGTTTCAATTGCAGGACTCACCCCCACAACCTGCCAGTTCTGTGCTCAAAGACTAATCCTCCATCACAAACACTGAGCCAAAAGCACACAGGTGAAAGATGACTGTGACATTTCACCCCCTAGCCCCAACTGCACAGTGCATTCCTGAACTGGGAAAGAGTGCTCTGAAAAGCAAAACAAATGTAAAAAACAAACAAATGGGGGAAAAAAAAAAAGAAAGAAAAAAAAAAGAAAAAAATCAATTGATAAAGCTAACTCTGACTTAACAATGGCAGAAGTTTACTACTTGCAGGTACTGTGAAATGATGCCCATCAGTGTTAACACCCATTCGGTCACAACAGTTAAATGCCGGGTTGGGCAAACTATGTCATAGATTTCCTCTACTCTTCTCTTTTAATAAATAACACTTGACTGTTAACACAAGTAACTCCTCTTATTTATTGTTCAAATTTTGTTTTTCCTAAAGAACTGACCTGCATATCATCCTGTGAGCAGCTTTTCAGAGAAGTACCTTGAAAATTACACCTATTTAACGTGAATCTCATTAACTGGAGTAATTAGAACTCTTTTATTTTTCCAAGAAATTTACTGAGTTAGATAAGTTGGAGCTGGAATTCTGAACTTTGTGCCTGGACTGCCTGGTTAGCTGAAAAAAAAAGGGGATATCTATTTAAGTCTCTCAGCTAATTAGCTGGCTGGGCCTCTGACCTAAGACAGCAACAAATACTGCAAGTTCATAACTTCTAAAGCAACTGCAAGAGAATCTTAAAAGCTGCACATCTGTGCACCATTGCTATCAACATGGCTTTGTCAGTAGCTAATACTTTCTGTGAAGGCACCAGCTTGTGATGTGCCATCTCATTTCACCTTGCATGTGAGACGGCAAACAAAATCCTCAAACAGTGTGAACTAGCTAATATGCCGGCTGTTACCATGCATAAATTATGGTCTTATCACACGGGTTTTTCGTGGGAATATATCTGTGAATAGCCTGTTTTCTTCCACATGTAAATTTGTGCCTTACACCCTCAGTTGTGTATATTTGTGAGCTGTAGTATGTAAAACCTTTTTCTTTTTCCCCTTTGAGTAATGCAAATATTTATTGATCCTTCCTTCTCCACCAAGCCCCTTCAAAAACTGGAGTAAAGACATTGAAAGAACGTGGTGGTTATTGTCATAACCCCACATCCCTAAAGAAACTAGGCTAGCACCATACCCTCCACTGCAGTTTGACTTTCTAGCTGTGCCAAGTCCTCTCTCAAAACCACCCACAAGTGGTGATGCTCCCAATGCACCATGCTGGGGGTTCTGCCTTGCCCCGCCTCCCGCTCCCCTTTTACAGCATGGAGATCATTCTCACTGGGCAGCAGGGAAATGACTAATGATGTCCACGGAGCTGGTATGTCCCCTGGCCAGGGATGAGCACCGGTGAGAGGGGCCAAGCCCTGCCGAAAGCCCAGCCACACATCCTGCTGCCTGCAGGGCACATGGAGCTAGGACAGGCAGGCAGGCTCCTGCTGTAGCTACCTGCTGCTCCAGAAGGATGCTGCATATACTTCTTTGGGGAAAAACGCGGGGTTTTTTTCCTTTGTTTCTTTTGTGTGACTGTGCACGTAGCTAGTGTGGGAGTGTGTGCGCGCCCAGGTGTGTGCGTGTGTGTGTGTGCGCGCGCGCAGGTGTGTAAGTTCCTTTCCAGTCTTTCAGTTTATGCAAAAACGTAGTTGTGTTTTTAATCTGTTACAATAACTGTGTCAACATACTGTAGAAAAATGATGGGGATCGCTTCTAAGCTTTTTATATATATATATATATATCTCTACTGAACAGTATGTTCGAGTAAGGTGGTTGTTTCTGTTTCAATTTGTTTTTTAAAATTTTATACTTCCATTTGTTTTTCAGGGTTTTGGTTTTGTTTCTGAATGATTGAAAAGATCGATTTTAAGTCCGTTAGTTTATAGATGGTATATATAAAGTCTGGATAGTCTACACCAAAGTGTGTAACAAGGGTGCTTGCATGTTCTTTCAATTCATCATGGCTTCTTTTATGAAACAGTTTTGTTCACCCGTAGTGAACTATGCAGACTGGAGTAGATAGATCTGTATCCAAAGCAATGTTGTTGTTTTAATAAAAACAAACAGAAAACCCTTTGAAAACAGTAGGTAGCAAGGTAATTTTTTTTAAAAGAACCAACTCACAACCTTTTTACCAAGCTCCAAACCCCTGAAGCACCAAACACGCAGGTTCCCTTGATATTATCCCTCAAAGCATTCTCCCAAAACATAGAGATGAATAATCACGGCAACAGCTTGTGCAGAGATCTGCCTTCGCAGTGTACATCACAGTTAATGAGTTGACCTTGAAATGTGCATTTCGTACTCAGTGGGTCTTCTGTGTTCATCCTTTCCCACCCCCAGTTCCCTTCCACCCTCTGTTTTGAGGGGTTCATGAACCTATGTGTGCCTTTGCTTTCCACCCTTGCTATACACTGGTAGATGCAACAAATTCAGACTCTCATTTGTTGTAAAGTTGTAAAGTATTGTGATGTCACCAGTTTCCCTTCATTTCCACTTCCCCCTAACATATGATTCACAACTTAATGTCGGTTGTAAAAAAAAAAGGCAAGAAAGAAAAACAAAAAAGGAGGAGAAATGGGAAATAAAAGCTCTTGATTACATATGGTAATAAAACCAGACTGTTCTACTTTGTTTCTTGTTTCCAGCTTCTGTTGTTTCTACAATGATTTATCCTTTTCCTTTAAAAATACAAACAAATGCAATGCTGATCATTTAGGTTATAGTGAGAAAGAAGTTTGTTACTTTCTGCCTCTTAAAGAAGATGAACTTGAATGTAGTGGTGCTGATAATTAAAAATTGAATCACACATTTGCTCTCCCTCTATTCATATTTTGCATTTTGTTTTTATAAGCTTGTTCATTGTCAAATATTTATGGCAGACTTAATAGTTTGAAAGATCAAGCCTGGGATTTAAGCACAGGTGGTCCACCAAAATAGATCATCATACAGATGTGACTTCATCTCCAGACTTTACATATTAATAACGGAGGAGCCTGTATTTTCTTTTAGCTGCATAAATCTGTTGTGCTTCATAGGGCTGATTTAAAGGATGATACCTGAGACTAATTCTGCAAGAAAATAGTAGAAAACAGATAACAAAAAAAGAGTGTAAAATCACCCTACTCCTGGGAGTCACTAAAACATAGCTGCATTCTCCACATTTATTTTGTGTAAATGGGGATCACTTATGCACAACCATTACCAACAGTACAGAGAAACACTTGGTTATGTTTGTAACTGGACTTAGTGGGTTTGTTTTGTGAGAGGAACAGGCAATGTGAGAGTGTGATCCCTTAGAAACAAGGGATCTAATCCAGTAATCTACCCTTTCTCTGATCATGTTTGGGCTTTTCTGCCCTGCCAGTACACCCTGTTCTGGATCTAGAGCCCTCCTGATATGTGCCGCATATGTGACATGCAAATGCAGAGCATTACTAATACCATTTTTCAGTGCCTTCCCCACATATTCACCTGGTTTTTTCTCAGTTCAGGCTCCCTTCAAGCTGGGCACACTAGCATGCAGATATGTGGTGTGGATGCAGGGAGGATGTCTTCCAGGACCGGGGTGTGCCCCAAGTAATGCTAAAGGACCTGCTGGTCTGGGGACTGAAAGCACTGTACAGTCACACAGTGCTCCATGCTCTGCTGCATTTGACCTGCACACTCCCAGAGCTGCAGTAAATAGGAAAGTGAAAGCTCTCTGGGTGCTTAGGGACCTGTATCATTTTCAGTCCTGCAGCCAATCCTTTGTCTATAAATGTTTGAAATGCTTCATATGAGCAACACCTGCAGAAGCTATTCAAAATTAATATACCTCTATTTTAACATTAATATAAATATTCCTCTATAAACAATTGCAAGCTACTACCTGGGGGACAGGCCCAGGAACGCCTCTAGTAGTGGTGCTGGATGACTCCTTTTGCATAGCTCCTCCGTGTCTTGCCTGGAAAAGGAAGGTCCATTTAAAGCATGGGCATGGGTCCATTTAAAGGAGAGAGGGCAAGAAGGTGCCCTGATGCACAAGCCATTTGGGATAACTGCTCTGCTTATGTGTCCAAAACCTGCTGCCAAAGGGAAAGTGTGAACCTAGCCCCTTAAAGAATTATTCCTTCACAACACCTCCCCAAAGGTACACTTCTGAGATGGCATGAACAACAGTCTCTGACAGAGACTTGTCTTACCTTCTGCTGTGCAGGAATGACCGGGAGAGGAACTGAAGGAACCACTGCCCCGGTGGGGTCTTGGCAGCAAAGCAGAGTGCAGGCACCCACAGCAGCACCCTGCTAAGGAATAGTTCTTCAACTGAGCACCCACAGCTCCCCACCCCAAAAGAGGCAGTGCCTTCAGCCTGCAGTATGCTGGCTTTTGACAGGGGAGGAGACCACTGAGCTACATGCTGTCTATTTGAATCATGAGATCTGTCCCCTACAGGGACTGCTAGTGCCACACTGAAGAAGCTCCCTGAGGCTGAACAGGGCAAACAAGAAACCCAAGAGAAAGCAAGGATGCTTTGAGCACTTCTGTCAAGTTAGTGTCATCTTATTTATCGCATTAATGGTACTCATGTTGACCTTATTTAGCATGTCATCAATGATGCATGGAAGTTCCTTTCCAATCAGCATTAATTTGCATACATGTTTTTACACAAAATGGAACGCAGCTGAATGACTCAAAACAATAGGCCTCTGTAAATATATCCTGGTCCACCGCCCTGTTCCTCCCCTCTCCCTCCAACAGATATATATTTTCAAACTACCCAAGAGTATAATTTCAAAGATAACTGGAACTCGTGCCCCACTGTAGCTTCTACAGCAGGGAATATTTTGCACCTGAAAGCTCCTCATGTGAAAAACAATTAGGCAATCAGGAAAAGCATGCACAGTTCAGTGCATTTTACTGCCAGCAGGATGGCAGTACACAGGGCTGGTTTTGCATGAAAGGGGGTACCAGAATGAAGTGCCGTAAGAGTAATGCATTGACACTAAGAGCAACACAGTGATGGCCAGAGCAATTTCTGGGATGCAATTTCATATCATTCTTCTGCCATGGAATTTGTAGGATTACTCTATGTTCTCTCCCAGGGCTGGGCATGGATTCTTGCTCCCTGATGTTTGCTGATAAAGCTTGTTTAAAGCAACATCAAGGACCTCAAGTGGTAGTCTTATCCACCCCACTGCACTGAGGAAGGATCAAGCAAACCTAATCCATTCGTGATGGCTGATTGTCTAACCTCTCCTTCTAAACATAATTTACCCCAAGAAGAAGTGAAAGTCACCCAAGGGATTAACATCAGGCATTTCAGAGAGTAAAGAAAATAATAAGCTAAGAAAGTGGGCTGGACTGGCTTAGTTAAAGCCAGTTTTTAATTTATCCAATTAAAGTTAATTTCCCAGAAGTATGGCACCTGCTCCAATGAACAAGTGTTAGAGAGACACACTGTGTGTGTAATATTCATATGCTTCCTGCTGATGCATGTGTCTGCTAATGAGTCTCTAAGTAGTCTTTTTATTACTTTTTTTCCTTTCTTTTGAATAGTGGAGATACTTTTCAGAATGAGTACCAAGCCCATCTTCACATGCCTTGTTCAGGAGAACAATGATGTGTTAGACTTCTTTGTATGAATAGAAATAGGTAAATAGTCATCTACCCCCTGACTGTAATTTAAACAGTGTAAGTCAGTAGGGAAAGGCTATAATTGGAGTCAGAGTAAGTGAGGTGAAAATTGCTAGGTGGCAGTACCATCTGCATCTTGGTTTAATTAGCCAAGTTTATTGTCAGAATATAAAACTTTCTGCTATTCAAGTCCATGGTTTATTTCAGCCATCAGTTCTAAGTGATTGCCACATGTCTAGGTAAGCACAATTACTGATCAGCAAAGGAGAATTATCCTTTCCACTGATCTGGCTAACAGTTACCATGTCTAGGAGTAGGGACAAAGATATGACTAACCAAGATCTTTGTCACATCTGCTTAGTGTTCCATGACAAACTCTATTAAGGCTAACAGAACCACTGTTAATTCAATTAGATCAGTGTTTTCCTTTGCTGGCCATGATGCATTTGGAAGACCAGCAACCGTATGCAGTCCGTGGCTGGCAGTCCACTGAAAGGAATAATAGCATCATAAATAATATATTAAGACAAAGACAAATCTACCATGCTGCAGTCAGAGCACATCAGCCTTATAGATGAATCTTGTAATATCACAAGGAGGTGGGGGAGGAAAAAAGTAGCTATGACAGGAAATTATAGCAAATGTAAATGACAGGGACTACAGGAGGGAACAAAACTCATTAGGTCAGCTCTTTACACAAAGTGCAGGGGAAGCACAGGACAGCCTGTTGGCAGCGGTGGAGGCCCTGTGAGCCCTCACATTCATTCTCCTTAAAACGAAATAGCAGACATCGAGTGCTGCATTTAAAGGAAGATGATAAATAACGGAAAAGAGCTCAGTGGAAAGCCTTATCTTTCGCTGGCCTGCAAGCCCTGCCCTAGTATTCAGGACTTCCACGCCTGTCTGCAGAGCAGGACTGAGGTGGTTGCACCCTCCAGAGCAATCAGGCTGCACAGAAAGATCCCCTACAAGCATCAGCTAGGAAAATGCCCTGTTTTGGGGAAGCACTTTGCACAGCCAAGGGACCCAGCCTGCAGGAGTGAAAGCCACAGATAGTTCAGCACAGATGAGTCCTTTGTTCCAGCCTTCTGGATTTGGGCAGGTCACACCCACAAGCACATGGGCACCGCAACGCAAGGGAGTTGGAGCAATGATTGTGGAAATCCTGTTCCACCTCTTCTGTGTTTAAAGGGAAACAAAGCAAAATGTACTTTTGCTTCAGCCAACATACTCGTAAAACGGTGCTAAGAACTTCCCAAAGCACTTTCCAAGAGCTTCACAAAGCAAAAAAAGCCCTTTGGGGTTTTTTTTGGTGCTGTGTTGTTTTTTTTTTTTCTTTTTCTATACTGCCTTGCTAGTAGAGAAAGAGATTCCATGTCAGAAAAAAAAAGAAAACTAGAATATTCTCTGATTTTTGGAAATTATGACATAAACTTATCAGTTCTCAACAAATACAGTCTAAAGTATTCAGACTGCTGATAAAGATATTGCTTCTGATAGTGCAGCAAACTACAGATTGAGCTTTTATTAAATGCATAATTGTCTGTGAAACAACCTCCTTATGAGATATGGTGGTTCAAACAATTTTACAAAGAGCAGGAGACAAAGAGTTCCTTTTACACTAAACTGGTTTCCTAGGAAACACTGCAAAGTGTAACATGATATCTCTTCGTGCAAGTTCAAGGACTTGTGTGTGCGAGTGTGTGTTTCTCCTGACCCTCTTTTTTTTTTTCATGGTGTGGTGTATGGTATCACTGCCCAATTTTACCTTTTGATGGTATCACAAGAACAGAATAAGCCTGTACCACAGCAACCCACAATCTGAGGGACATTTTCCTCTTTGATAATCAAATCTCTAAACAGAAAAGAAAAATGTTGATAGAAACCAAGTCTTTTCATCTGTAGCACTGTGGTTTCAGAGTAAGGAAAAAACAATGACTGAAAATACTCAGAGACAAATTTCAGGTTTCAGACAGTCCTGACCCAGTGTATTTTGTCATATGTGTGTAGCCTATATTAGACAACATAAATCAGTACTATTAAAGCAGAAATTAACAGCCTGCAGTGCTAATCAGAGATCTAGACATGTGTGGTACAGGAAGATCAGACACATGTCCAGATCCTCCTCTTAATTAAAGGCTAATAATCTGCCCATTTGAGACAAGCACTTTGCCCTTCCCTATGTGCAAGCAGTGTGTCCCCAAAAATGCAAAATTCCTAACTGGGATGATTCAACTGTTTATCCTAACAAGAGGTAACTGTGTCTGAATTTACCCGACTGCATGCCCTTTCATTAGTCATACTACTCTCATAGATGCTAATAGTGACATAGCATTAGGTGCACTTACTACACATGTTAAAGACTGCAGAAATATGGATATATAAAACCCTTTTCCCCAGACGTGACTATTCTCAAGACCTCAATATGCTGAAGTCCCTAGCTAGACAATACATGACCTCATGCAGTGCTGCAAGGTGTCCGTTATCCTCCCAGCTGCATCCTGGGCACTCAGATCCATGCAATTCTGCCCAGCACTATGTCCAATTACAAAAGCATGCTGGCCCAAGTGCAGAAGTGCTAGGACAGTGCATACAAGCCAGCAGAGCCAGACTGACAGGGCCCAAGCCCTTTGCCTGCCCAAGCATGGCAAGTGGCAAAGACACGCCTCATTTTGTGCAGGGTATTTTACAAGAAATTACTTTGCAAGGGACCATCACTGGATAAAAGCTTTGAACAGGGCTGGGAGTATGAATTAGGTCCTAGGACTCCCTTTGCCTGGTTTGGAGAAAGGGCAAGCAGGTATTTCAGAAGTAGTTGCACTCAGTTTAAGCAAAATGTCATTCATAGATGACAGAGGCAGCACTGGCTGTCTCCGGCTACCTCAGCCGGCAAACCTCCCCGAGTTAACCAGACTGTCTCTTTGAGAAGCACACACCTGATGCACTGATCCCTAGTGCTGCCTCCCCATCCCAGTCACTAAATTTTACAGCCTTGTTGCAGCAGATGGTCCTTTGTGCCTCGAGCAGACTCTGGGACAGTGGCAAGCTGAAATGTGTACGGTGATGTGTCTGGATCTGGTGCTGGGAAAGGTCCCTGGAGCATTTCTGTGCTGCAGGTAACTGACAAATGAGGAAAAACTCACAGAACAAAGTCCTGAGAGGTTAGCTCGTCTTTATAAGCACAGCATAGACCAAGCAACAGGCAAGATAAGGGCTGACATTTACTGTCAGTGCAGAATGTGAGTTTTGGGGAACTACTGAATTTGTCAGGTAATGAAGAAAGTGGCATTTGGATGCAGATGTGCACTCTGAAAGACCTGGAGTGCATTCCTGCTGGCAACAAAGATGCTGACCTAGGGAAACCATTAACTTAAAGCACAATTTCATCCACTGAGCTTCCTGTTTTAAAACCAGGGCAGAACAACCGCTTTTCTGGGCAGGGCCACAGGGTGCCTCCTGAAGAAAATATGCCAACCACATTAAGAATGGTGCTGAGCTTCTTCCAAACTAACCTAGGGCAGACAGCCATTCATCCTCCATCAAAACAACTGCCTTCCAAGCCTGTAAACCTAAAGGAGTTACCTGACAAAGCTGAACAGGCATAAGGCAGTTCCATGCCAATGAAGGTAAATTACAGACTCGGGACTTGCTTCCACTCTTCTGGTCCCACTGACTCTGTGAACATATTGGTTAGTCTGTGTGGCACCCAGGAGCTGTCCTTATGTGCACGGGTGAAGCACCAAGGATAAAGGAATAGGGCTTGGCTGTTGCAGCCTGTAACACTGTTTTGTTCATCCTCTGCTGTACTAAGAGGATTAAAATGCATTTAACTGAAATTTCATCTTTAAAATTAGCAAGTAATTAAGCCCATGTCGATGCATTACATTTATATAAACACTTTCTGAGTAGAAATGCATCCTACTTCCTCACTGTCCAAAACACTTTATTCAGAGTGCCCAGTTACTGAAGATTTAAATAATTCACACCTACATTCAATAGCTTTCCTTTAGTGTAATTTGTATGTTTAAATATCTCCTAACTGTAGTACATCTGCATTTAGAGTTTAAAACCCCTGTACAGACAAACACATTTACCAGTACGAGTTATACCAAATACTAGTCAATGCAGGGAAACCTGACTTTCAGACAGGGGCTTTCTGAAATGGAAGAGTCATGAGTTGGACAGCTTGCAATGCCAGGGTTTTACATCTGTCTCCCAGCATAACCAGCTCAACACATAGGTGATTTAGACTGTCCAGTCTCACCCGTAATCACAGATAATATAAGATCTTATCTGATACACAAATACAAACTCCATTAGTCTGACAGACAGAAAACTAAATAGTCTCCAGAGTATATGCTTTTAGATGAACATGCCATTTGTATAACAAATGCAACTCAGTAGGGGTTTTTGTTCACCAAAATTTTTTAATGCAAGTAGGAAAAGCAAGTCTACCTGAAGATTGAACTATTAGCTGTTATAAATGCTGGGAAGGACTTTACTCAGAGTTGGTCTAAAAGCAATAAAAAACAATTTGCCATCTTTTGATTCTGTGACTGCCTCATATAAGAGAAAGGACAAACTCTCCCCTGACCTAGATAAATATGTATGTGGCCTTTCCCTATTGCTTTGAAAATTGAAATTAAAAACTGTCCCATTAGCACTGATCATCCAGGCAGCGCTTTAGATGGACTTGGCATGTCTGTGGGATGGGGAATGCCTGAGAGTCACTGCTGTTCCTGTGGCTGGCACTGCAAAACACAGGTGCAGTGAGTGCTGCAGGAAGGGGTATAGACTGCAAGGATAAGGCAGTGGCAAGGATGCTCCCAGTCCTCTGTGGTGACTGCACAAAAGTAGCCCTTGCTCCCTTCCAGCCCAGAAGTCTGTGTGCATCCACGGGTAATTCAATCTGATTTGGAGAATGCAGGGAACCTCCATGTATTTAAAAATGGGTTTGTGTTCCTTTTTAAATCTTTCTTTTCTCTCTCTTTTCCCTCTTATCTTGCTACCTGCCCGACTGGGACCACTTAGATGCAGGAGAAAAGGCTGGATGACCCATTTTAAGAGCAAGGAAAGTGAGGACTGAAGCCATTTTGTACCAGGCTACCTTCAAACCTGCAGTAAGGACAAGGGCAGTCACAGGTTCCCAGGTCACTGTCATACACATTCTCCTCTGAATTGCACAGTTTAACTGGCAGGTTTGAGGAAAAGCACAACCCAGAAGCCCACAGAGTTTAGTGGCAGAAACAGACAAAAAAAGGAAAAGGGTTTGAATAGAAAAGAATTCTCTTTTATCAAGAAATTCTAAATAGGGCAGGCACACAGGTATTCCTGTTTCAAGCAAAAAGAACCAGGAATAAAACTGAACCTTCCCATAGGGTGGAAGAAGAACAAAAGAGAAGCTGCTGGTGCAAGAGAAGGAAGAAAAGCAAAGTGCTGCCCCAGGGGGCAAGGGCCATGGGTTGGTCCAGCGGGATGTCTGCAGAGCACCTCACTGCCTTCTCTGGCGAGGTGTGTTCCACCTGCAGGTGATGGACTGTGCCCCAGCTGAACCAGCAGTTCACACCAGCCCCATGTGCCACACAGCTCCCACCCTGCCCTTGACACTGCCCGGATGCTCACAGCACAGCCAGCTGCCAGAGGACAGACAGGCAAGTGGGATGCCTCCAGCATCATGGGATTTCTGCTTTCAGAAACCCTCCTGCAGCAAACTGATCATAAAACTTCAGCTTTACTGAGGGAGGGGGGGTTGGTGTATATATGTATATATACACATACACACACATAAACACACACATATATAATATACAATTATATAGATATAAATATATATCTATAAATTATAGAGATATAAATATCTCTAAGATATAGTGCAATATATTATACTTATATTAAATATAGTTTATACCTATTAAAAAGGAATACTCCTCCTGATATTATATGACAAAATAACTACTAGTATTCGGGTCTTGGTACAGTAACTTGCAACTTGTTCACAGCAGTGGGGATTTGTGAAGCTTCCACAGTGCTGCAGCCTGGGGGAGGTGGATGCAAGGAGGGGGCTCTCTCCCCAAGGAGCAGGTCTGCCCCCGGGGGGAGGCACAGCAAAGTGCCCAGGAGTCTCAGAGATCTCACCTCCCCTTCAGTAATGAAGTGTGACGTCACGGTCACAGGAGGAAGCAATGTCAGGGGTTGGGGGAGTTGCAGCAGCAGGCTTTTCCATCAGTAGGGTAGGAGTAGACGGTCTTAGAAAACCAGCCACCTTCCCACGTAAGAAATAACCTTATGAGACAAGAATTTAAGTAATCTAAGAGACATGCAACTAATTAAACGTTACCTCACGTAAAGGAAAAAAGAAAGTGTAACGTTCCTAGCAATAAAAATGATGAGTGATTTGTTTCCAAATTGTGCCAAAGACAAACAACCCACAGAGCCAGAAAAGTTTTTTCCCCTACTCCTCCAGGGAATGAGGACTGCAGGCAGCCAGCTGCCTCCTGCCCAAGGGGCTGATGCCAGCCAGAGCAATTAAAAACTAGATTGCAATTAGGCTTCGGTGAGACACCTCTCTAATCAGTCATCAGCTGTACTGCTGCTGTGGAAGTAGCTTGATGTTCTTCACTTGGTCTTTCTGTTTATTTATGAAGAGTTTGTATGTGTTTATTTTTATTTTGACTGGAAGCTATTGCCAGCAACATACAGCTATTTCGGCTGCTGTCCCTTTCCCAGAGCTGTTCTGTACTCCTGGTGAGACAGCGGCAGGAAGGCTCAGCAGATGAAGCAGCTCTCTGAAGTGGTCAGCAGGACCAGGAGGATGCACATGGCAGTGCCTTTCTTTTCCTGCTTTCTTTTCGTGTCGTGTGTGCCCATCTGCACTGGGGCAGGGGAGGACCAGCAGTTCTGCCAAGGAAGCCTGGAAGGTCTTCAATCCCAGCAACTTGGAGCTGGACCACATCCTTTTCCTCCTTCCTCTTGTCTCAGGATGTTTTTGCTCCCTGCTGTGACCGTGACTGTGCCAGAGAGGAAGTGCTGGAGATCTGTAACACCCCCAACACAGGTTAGCCAAGCTTTTCTGGGCAGCAGTGTGGACTGGCAGAGATAAACGCAGGTCCCCAGACTACATAATGAAGTCATAATTTTTTAACGTATATCTCTGTATGTTACAGAATCCAGATGTATTCACAGGCCACAGGACAGCTAAGGCTGGAAGGTACCTGCAGATGCCAATCCCATCCAACCCCCTTGCTCAAGCAGTGTCAGCTAGAGCAGGCTGCTCAGGACTATGTCCACTTGGGTTTCAAGTATCTCCATAGATGGAGGCAGCACAGCCTCTCTTGGCAACCTGTTCCAGCATTAGATCACCTCCACAGTAAAAAATTATTTTTCTTATGTTTGAACAGAATTTCCTGTACTTCAGTGTGTGCCTATTGATGCTTGTCTTGTGATTGCATAACATTGAGAAGAGCCTGGCTCCTTGCCATCAGGTATTTGTATATTTTTATGTGTTTTTTTAAAGCCCTATGGGCTTAAAAGAAAAATAAAAGCGAGCTTCAGTAACCAAAAAAAGAATTGAGCCAAATAACACATAAAGAAAGAGAGGCAAACTTCCAGGAAAGCAAAAGTGGAATGCAAAGGTGCATGGTAAAATACATAGTAAGCTTGCCTGTCTATATATAAGAGCATCAAGAAGATTTGTTGTTAGAGCTAAAAATCTTACTCAGATCATATATTTACATGTCGCCCAAAGTGAATGTTTCAGTCAGTGTGAAAACGATTTTCACTGGGCTAACACCACTCTAATCCCCCACTGCATTCCAAAAGCTTTCACTGTTGCAAAGCACATCTGAAACCTCAAAATGAGAAGGTGTTAGAGGCCTTCACATGTGGCAGGGACAAGCTGCCTCATGGTGGCTGCACAGACCACTGTTCTTGGCACTTCCAAAGCACCATCAGTTCCAAACACCCACGTGGCTGAGGTCACTGAATTCCTGCTGGACAAAGCCTGATGATACTAAACAGCAGCAAACAACTTCTTGCAGTGGAAAATATTGGACAGCCTTAAGTGCAAGTACACATTACCCACATCCTATCATGTCCATTAATACAGGTAATGTTACTGCAATTAAAAACCATGCATTTCCCAAGAAACCACAGTTAACTCAACTGTTCAGAATAGCTTATCAGAATAATATCTCGGATGCCACTCTGTGGTAAGTGCTGGTGAATAACAATGTTTTTAATGGTAAGTACTTTGTGAAACATTCTAATTTGAAGACCTTTGTGCATTAAGGAATTTTCCTTCTGAACAGTTCAATTTAATTTCTTAGTTTTCATTTAATTTGATATGCAGTAGTAGTAAGCACAAGTCAGGTAGTTTTATTATCCTCTACTTAGGGTAAAGGATTACCATAAAATATTCACAAAATCTCAGTGAAGGCCATTTGGAATTTTTTTGAGCTTTTTTGAACCCACCTTCATAGTTATATCCACCACATCGCCACTTGAATTTCTGGGGCACTTACCATCAGTTAAAGGACATCTCTATAGGATACAGCAGCATCAAATGAGACCAATCTTTCTGGGCAGTGCACACTGCTGGACAGTACCATGCTCAGAGCCTCAGACTTCTTCTCTCTGTGCTGCTTTATGCCTTATTAAAGCCTAAACTATCTGTAAGTTCAAAAACCTATTTGAAATTTTGGCTGCAAAGCCTCATACACTTGCCCATATATACTTCAGATGATGGAGAGAAATAATATAATCTATAAAACAAAACAAAATTCCAGGGGAGACTGAGGTTATGGTGGCTCTGATTTTCATGGTCATCCATTACTTGGTTTGCATTTAGGAGAAAAAGACTTTACAGACAATTTCTTATTTACTGGGCACACGAAAAAAGAAAAACATTTGCAGATGAGGCTAATCACAGAGGCTTCAGGTTGCTGTTTTATACAGAGATAAAACCCCTTCAGCTGGCAGGCTATTGGGCAGGATGGCAAATATCCATCAAGTGCAGGAGGCCTTACAAGAACCATAGATAATAAATGCCAGTCAAGCAGGTATTTTTGGTAAAGTATAAAATAATTCTTCTGCCTAAAGCTATGTATTTCCTCAAAAAGTTTACAAGGAAGAGATGGAAACAAAGATTTCTGCTTTTATGTCCCACTTTCTTATAGGCTTTCATTTTTGGTTATAGATAAAACAATTCGTCTTTCTAGGAAAGCAATTTCTTCCCCTGTATGGACATGCAAAATCACTTTATTATAATAAGACATTATTCTGTTTGTACCATTTATTCACATCTCTGAAGTCTTTTAAGAACCATGGATGAAAGGTGCTATACAAGTGCCAAGTACATCATAAATTATTAAATGTTTCTTCAAAATCTGCTTGCTCAGTCTTTGTTTCATCTGCTGATGCTGGATTTCAGAATGAGTTACAAAAGGCCTTTATGAAACTTTCCCATTCTCAACATCCTGCCTGCACTGTGCAAGATGAGGCAGAATCAGAATGAATCAGAATATATGCTGCTTTCTGTAAGGAATAGCACGCTTCCTGGGTGACCTAACACTGCTCTGTACTTGAGAAACTTTGCAGGCCACTTGAGTTTCTCAAATTAAAAAAAAAAAAAAAAAAAAAAAAAAAAAAAAAAAACACACACACACAAAAAAAAGATGAAAAAGAGCAAGGAAAGACAGAATGACAGAGAGAGGAAGGAAGGAAGGAAGGAAGGAAGGAAGGAAAGCAGGCAGGAAGGAAGGGAGGAAGGCTGATTATTTGCAATTACACGATTTGAGACTGTGTCTCTGCAAGTGCCCCTGCAAGGCAGGGTTCCTAAGGGCAGCAAGGTTAAAAGCAAGTAGCAGCCATGTACAGCCCTGCCGTGCTGCTGTGAACAGCCATGCCTGGGTAAGGCAAATTATGCTGCTGCTGGGCATTTAAGATGTATATGAACAAGCTGTCAGTCCAAGATCTAAAACTTATTCAGTTATTCAAACTAATTCAATTTCATCACCAAGCTCTGACACACCTAGCACTTGCTGCAGACCATTTTAATGGGAAGTGATATGTAAGTGCAAACACCTGGGAGGCAGGCAGCAGGAGATTTTTCTGATACAACAGTCATCACCATGGTTGTTAACAGCAGTGGCATTTATGTGATCCTAATTACTCTGTAAGCGTAAGACAGGAAGACAGGCAAGGAAAGTTCACACTCCTCTTCCTACACTGCTCTCTCACCATCTGCAGGCTCCCACTGCCCCTGAGAATGTCCCCAGACCTTGCACATCCCCCCACTGACCTGTGTGTCCCACACAGCCTCCACTGACAATCACAGTCAGCTGTGCTGCCTCACTCACCCTGTCCACAGACACAGGCAATAACATTTCATGTCTTGAATGTCCCTGGTAGGGCTGACATCAGTATTTTTCAAGCCTTCAGCATCTCTTAGGTCAGATCAAGATACCAAGGAGTAGCTGGAAAGAAAACAAGAACAAGAAACAAGACAATGGTAGAACTTTCGCCTGCTAGTTGGCCTTCAAACACTGTGCAGACTATTGCGACTGTTGCAGACCTGATATGACCACTCACTGTATTTATATTCGCATATCTTTCTGAGAATGATAAGAGTATGGAAGGAGGTCTTACCTTGAGATCGAGTTCTGATTCCATCTGCAGATCTTGTCCTCCAGAATGGCAGGAGTTTGGAACAAGATAACCTTTAAGGTCCTTCCAACCCAAACCATTCTATGATTTTCAAACACCAGTAAATTCTAAACATGGATGTTTTGGTTCCAAAACAATATTTTAATAATTGTCCCTGAAGATAAATTACAAACTAGCTCTCTGGTAGATCCTAAAGCATGCTTAATAATGGGGCTAGATCCAGCAGGGTTCTCACAGGACTGAGTCTTGGGACAAAATTATTTAATTTGGTTTTAATTAGTGTTTCAAAAGATGATAAAAATCTTCAGTGTCGGAATCTGCAGGTGCTATACTGGTCACCCAGCATGGAACAGCAAGCAGGACAAGTTGTGTCTGCTGAAAGAGTTGAGCTGAATGCCACATCTCAATAATTTTTGGGGTATGCAGGAACCCACCACCACAGTTGGGTAATCCAGGTGGCATGCAGGGAAAGGTTGGCTCCCACATGCCATATGGGCTCAGTGTGCACCCCACCTTGAGGTAGTAAGAACCATGTCTCTGTAGGAAAACACAGTAATAGTCATGGTCAGTGAATGCAGGAGAGGGAGTGGAGTGGTTTTTGACCTTGTTGAAGGACACAGTCCAGCTGCCAGGGATGTGACAGCAGTGTCCCAACACCTCTGTGTCATGTAAAGCCAGGGCTGCATGCTGTGTGGCTGCTGGGATGTGGCCTTTGCAGTGTGAGATGGCTCAGTCCCGCTAACACCCTCCTTCACCTGCAGGATGCACAGTGAGGCCACCAGGCAACCTAATAGTCTGTGATTTACCAGGGGCCGGGCTGAGATCACTTAGTGATCAATACTCAAAATGTGCAGAGCTCTGCTGAGATGCTGTAGTTTATATAAAAGCTGCAATCACCAAGGTCAAAAATCCAAGGAGGTGGAAGGCAAAACAGAGCTGAAGTGACTTAGTTCAGGTTTTATATCCCATTAATAGCAAAGTCAAGAGCAGAATCTGCTTTCCCTGCCCCCAACCTTGCCCCAGGCTGAGCCTTTTCAACAGTGGCACTGAACAGAAAACCAGCTTTTGATGAAGTTTATCAAGTTGTTTTTTTTAAAGTACAATGGTAGTTTTCATGAACTTGTAAAGTAATTCTTTATTTGCAAGTAGCAGCTATCTTTGCCATTAAGAGGGTTGTTGGTGATATTTTCTTTTTTTATTATTTATTTATAGAAACCTTTACATTTGAAGCTTCTTCAACCACACAGGCCTATTGTGTCAGATCATTTCATATAAGGCAGAAACTCAGCCTTCTGCCTTGGACAGGATGGCTCCTCAAAAAACAGAAAGCTGCAGGTCCAGTCCCAAGCAGTGCCTGCCAAAGGGACTGGGAGTGCATCAGGTCATTTCAGACCCACAGGAGCCACGTTATTCATATTCCCCCTTCCCAAAACCTGCAGCTGGAAAAAAAAAAAAAAAAGCACCCCTTAGAAGGCATTTTTGAAATCACTGATATACAGGTTAACCATAGACTTGTTTCATCACAAGAACACAAGGCAATAAATGGCACAGTGATGCAAGCACCAGTTTCCTTGGCTTCTACCACACAGAAACTTTGTGTCCTCCACAGAAAACAGTGCAGAGAGGATCCCAGAGTGGGACAGCTGCGTCCTTCTGACACACCAAACATTTTGTGGGGTGGACAAGCAATGACACATGTCAAAGCAGTAGGCAAAAGTGCTCTT